GATTAACTTAGTTTGACGCAAGGATACAAATATGAAACACCAACTGTGGATCGAACTAACAACAGCAATGGTCACTTTGACTAACTCGTTAACTATTACCCAAAACCTTAGTTTGGCACAAAGCAACGAGAATGATCATCTAACATGTTTTTTTATTGATTCGATTTTTACGGTTTATCAACCCTTTTCAGGTTATTTTAAAGCCAGTAATTATTTTTAGATTGTAAGATTTTTTTTTTTTTTAGATACAAAAGTCTTACAAGTTTTACTAATTAACCCATAGCTGGGAGGCAATAGATGGATTCATACCTAATCATAATTTAATAAGCAAACAATAGATTATAATGTGGATATAAAGTGGGATATCAATTCTATATTGCAATCAATACATAAATTGATCCCTCATTTTATGACTACGGTAGTTTCTACACATATTCCAGGGAATGTAAATAAATCTCAATGACAGAAGTTTTCATGAAAATATTTGTGGGAAAGACAGAGGGAAGCCACTTCGCGTCGGTGAGAAAGAGACTGAACTCGAGGTGCCTGGTCAGGATTGAGTACATTACAGATCGTTCTTTTCAAGGATTGCGAGATGTACAGCAGGAACACCAGACCAGATATGGCAACAGTCTTTAATGCACGGACGAATGATAGATTTATAAATGTGCAAGATGGATTCTGATAAGAAAAATATTCTTAGTACTATTTCCAAAATGAGAGGGAACAATAAAAGAACAGAAGTTAATAACACAGAAGATAACGATTGGCATTACATTTAAGTTTTTGAAGATTAAAATTGACTGGGAAGCAAAAAGCCGGAAGAAAGCTTCACATTCGTGAAACGCGAGAGAAGAAACTGTTAGCATAGAAATTACGGTTACATCTAGGCATTCCAACCCCAAAATAATGAGTCCTTGGGGTCAATCTTGCACTGAGCTTAATTCATAAGAGCAAAAGAGTAAAGTTCATCACAAACAGTTACCACGAAGTTATTCCTAGAAAAGACACAAGGAAGCTACGTTATGAATCCGAGACATCAGTTCGGGAGAAATGTTTAATATCAATCTAAATACTATTAGAAAACGCATAGTAAATATTTACATCAAAATATGTATTTCAAGTAGACAATGAATATATCTACAATCAAGCAAAGATCAATCCATTCAACCAACAGTATATATAGCAATGTATATTTATCTTCAGATAGATAGATATGACCAACAAGGCACTAGTTTTGTGATCAAGTTCGATATATATATATATATATATATATATATTAAACATTTCACCCCAAGCAAGGCGGGAAGCCACTAGGACGCAAGGGGTTACAGAAAATTTAGAGCAAGATCAGATAGGAGTGATAGAAGAAAGGATGAGGGTAGTGGATAGATCAAGGCAACTGGAGATGTCGATTGACATTACACTTGAATAGCTGGAAATTATAGCTGTCAGTGAAACTGGAATAGGGAAGGGAGTTCCACAGGCAAAAGGGGCGAGACATGAAGCTATTGGAGTAGAAGAGACGGCTACATTTAGGAGTTTCGATAGTGAAGGGGTGAGAGCGGGATGCCATCCTCGTAGGGCGCTTTGACTCATGATGTCTGGGAACCAGCGAATGCAGATATATATATAGAACAATATATTGATTTAGCAATTAAATTTTTCAAGATCAGAGTTACCTGGGACGCAAGAGGCCGGAAGAAAGTTTCAAATACGAGAAGGCCAAGAGAGGAAAGTGTTAGAGTAGAAATTGGATTACATCTCGCAAAACCTACTCTTAAATGATGAGACTTACCGCCATTCTTGTACTGTTGTTCAGCTAGCAAAGATTAAACTTCATCACAAACAATTAACATGAAAGTATTTATAGAAAAGGCACAAGGAAGCTATGTTATGAATCCGAGATATCAGTTCAGGAGAAATGCTTAATATCAATATAATGATAATGAGAAATGAGCATGGATCGGCCACACGCTCCGCAAGCCCTGCTTCTAGTGTCACCATGCAGGCCCTTGACTGGAATCCACAAGGGAAGCGAAAAGTGGGCCGACCAAAACAGACTTGGCGCAGAATTATTGACGCAGAGATGAAGGCAGCCGGCACGACATGGGCCGAGCAGAAGAGGATCGCCCAGAAGCGCATCCGTTGGAAATGTTGCGACCCTATGTTATCCCAGGAACCAAGGGGCATAATATGCAGAACGACTGATGTTAACCTTCAAGAGAGCAATTCCTTGCGCTTTTTGGTCTCACTGGTAAGTAGAAGGATTCTATTGAATCAACTGCTAGGTGTACTAATCCATCTTGCATATTCGTCCATGCAATTGAATATTGCTGCCATATCTGGTCTGGTGATCCTGGTGTATATCTTGTGATTCTAGGCAAAATCCAAAGAAGGTGTCTGTAATATTATTGGTTCTGACCTAGTATCTCGACTTCTGTCACTTTCTCACCAACGTGACGTGGCTTCCCTCTGTCTTTTCTACAGGTAATTTTCATGGCAATTGTTCCAATGAGCTTTCACTCTGGCTCCTCGACTGTATGAATTTAAGCATACTACTAAAATGGCAACTAGCTTTCATCGTTAAAATAGCTAGATGTATAATCGTAAGCTCTCTTTTCCTCAAGGACACATGACACAGTGGATAAAGGCGTTGGTTAGATCCAGTGACCCAAAGAGTGTGAGTTCAATACCCGGTTAAGGCAGTGGAGAACTTGCAGAGGGGAATTAACAGGAGATAACTGATAACTGACATCCAACGCCTTTATCCACTGTGTCATGTGTCCTTGAGGATAAAGGCGTTGGTTAGATCCAGTGACAGGACCCAAAGAGTGTGAGTTCAACACCCGGTTAAGGCAGTGGAGAACTTGGAGAGGGAATTTAACAGAAGATAACTGACATCCATGAAAACAGGGCACGTTGAACTAGAACAGTCTACCTCATTGAGCCAAATAAAAGGTTCAGTTCAACATTCCAACCACCTGAAGAAGGCCGAGACGTACAACGGCCGAAACGTTGTAATAAATATGGCGACAAAGATGAGAACAATCGTCCGAATAGTGTAAATAGTGTACATAATACCTCCTCTCAGAAATATAGACAGGTTTCTTTTCTTCTCGCACTTTTCACCTGTGGAAAGCTCTTACAGTTTCTTGCTTCCCTCGTCACCTACGATCTTCAAAGATTAAATCGTCATGTTCTGTCTTCATGAAACCTGTTCTTCCTTCTCACTAACGTGTTCTCATTTTCTTTCACCCTCAGTAACCCTTTGCGTCTTAGCAACATTACTGTCTCGCTTAAGGAGAAATGATTAAAAAAAAATGAATTATTTGAAAGTTAGAGAAGAGAATAAATCAACGTGTACCAACTATTATCCGTAAGTTTTAGCTGCATAATTTGTACAGATGCGTGAATACATCCGGGTCTGCGATTGAAGAACATGTAAGAAATATTTGTCTTTATCTCTGAGATGAGGTATGATTATTTACTCATGGCCCAGTGGATAAAGACGTTGGTTAAATCCAGTGAATCAGACCTAAAGAGTTGTGAGTTCAATACCAGGCCACAGCAGTGGTGGACCAAACACTTGTAGAGTTGAGTTAAAGTGAAATAACTGAGACATCCGGAAGAGGCATGACACTGTTGGACGAAATAAAGGATTCGAAATTCTAATTACCGGAAGAAGGTGCTGGTAATATTTCTTTCTTCACAAATGTATTGCTGGTAATAATGTATTGCTGGTAAAAAATTTCCTCAAAAATTTATTGCTGGTATCAAAACCTGTTTTTATACTTCCATTGTCTTTGGCCCTAGTTGTGGAGGGTAACTATTTGACCATAGTTAAGATCCTAACAGATGCTACCACCCTATGTCAGGTTGGACCTGAGAACACCAGCAATTAAGAGGCTCCTCAAAACCTCCTGATCAGAGGCCTTGCTGTTGGACGTAGTTTATCGTCTTACCCAAGTGTTGAAACTTGACTAATGCATGGAATAATAATACAACACAAAATGTACTTAGAACAAAATGTATTGAAACAAGAAAGTGTACACAATATTTACATATAGTCTTTTGTATATTCTTGGGAAGACCGTTCCTGGAGAATGTGTTGACTTAGTCGCAGTCGGGCAGAGTCTCTGGATTGAATCTCTTGATTCCTCCCCCCGTCTTCCCGGTACCATCCATATTTATATGGTCGGTACTCCACTATGCAAATTAGGTGGATCCTACCACAACACCAAGACGGAATAGTTTTAGTGTGATTTTCAATAAAGAATTCAAATTTAAGACATTGTCTTATAATCTGTACCCGGCAGTATTAGGGTCTTATATACACTTTTATCTATTTTTTGTTTTTGTTAATTATGAACTATCAAAATTGTGTAAGATTTTGTTCATTGATTAGCCTTTTTTGTAATCTTTTATAATTTGTACACAATTTTTACTTCTCGAATTCAGTAAAAACTTGCATATTTTGCTTCCGGTGATTCATAATTAGAATTCTGGTTTGAATCTATTTTCCAATCAATGTATCTAATAAAAAAATCAACTCTATTTCGATTTTTCTTGAAATAGTAAAATTTTGAAGTGTGTAAGCAAAAAACTGCGTAAATTCGTTATTTCTGGACATTTTTTTCGGCGGTCTTTAAAATTAAATGCTCAAAAATTGGAAAAGGCTATGAGTGTAATTTTTATGTCAGTACTTAGCACATTAAACCCCAGCTTGTGCATGGAGTGCAATGTTGATTTTCTAAAACAAGTGAAAGATCAACCTAATGTATCTTATCTTATCTTATATTTATTACGATTTTTTTTTCTTGTTTTAGTCGCCGTGAACATCTGTTTTAAGTTCGCCATTAAACTTTGAAGAGGGTGGAACGAAAACTGTCCAGCTGTTTTCTTTCGTTCTCTCTCATTCTTTTCGATTTGCCGTTTACGGGAATTATAACATTTCTTTTTTTTTTTTTTTTTTTTCTTCGATAAAAAAAATGTCTGCTTTAATGGAGATAATAAATGAAGAAAAAGGAAAAGGGGGAAAAATAATAAAAAAAGGAACAAAAAGGTGGAAGCAAATTTGCAAATGAAAGAAAAATGACCATAGAAGAATGAAAAGAAAGAAAGAAAGAAAGAAAGAAAGAAAGAAAGAAAGAAAGAAAGAAAGAAAGAAAGAAATGAATTAATGAATGAATGAATGAATGAAGTGGAAGCAGAAATGTAAAAAAGAAGAAATAAAAGAAAAAGGACAGAGAGGGAGAAAAAAGAAAAGAAAGAAAAAGATAGAGTGAAAGGAATGAGAGAGAGAGAGAGAGAAAGGAAAGAGAAAATAAGAAAAAAGAAAAGAAATCAAAATGGAAGAAATAAAAGATAAATGAGGGAAATGATAAAAAGAAGAAAGTGGAAAAAGAAAAGTAAGTGAGAAAAAGATGAAATAAATTAATAATGAACAGGGAAGGGGGAATGTAAAAAAAGAAAAAAGAAAAGGAAAAAGAGGAGAAAGAAAGAAAGAAAAGAAAGAAAGAAAGAAAGGAATGAATGAATGAATGAAATAGAAATAGAAATGACAAAAAGAATAAATGAAAAATGAACGTAGAAGGAGGAAGATAAAAAAGAAAAGAAAAATCGGAGAAAGAAAGAAAGAAAGAAAGAAAGAAAGAAAGAAAGAAGGAAAGAATAAAATAGAAGTAGAAATGACAAAAAGAAGAAATAAATGAAAAATGAACGAAGAAGGAGGAATATAATAAAGAAAAAGAAAAGAAAAGAAAGAAAGAAAGAAAGAAAGAAATAGAAGTAGAAATGACTAAAAGAATAAATGAAAAATGAACGTAGAAGGAGGAACATAAAAAAGAAAAGAAAAATCGGAGAAAGAAAGAAAGAAAGAAAGAAAGAAACAAACAAACAAAGAAATGAATGAAATAGAAGTAGAAATGACAAAAAGAAGAAATAAATGAAAAATGAACGGAGAATGTGGAATATAAAAAAGAAAAAAAAGAAAGGGAAAAAGAGGAGAAAAAGAAGGAAGAAAGAAATGAATGAATGAATTAAATGGAAGCAAGAATGACAAAAAGAAGAAATTAAAAAAAAAATGATAGGAAAAAAACCGAAAAGAGTTAAGAAAATGACGAAAAGAATGGAAAACAAATTAGTGAACAATAAGAGAATGAAAAAAACGAAATATATTTTAACCAATTGGAATCATCTTCAAGAACGATTGGAAGTTATTTTACTTGTTTGAATCTTATTGATTTTCCATCATACATCCACTGTTCCAATCAAATCATATCGAAGAGTAAAAAATTATTTTCTGAAATCTGCTTACTCGTCAAGGCAACGACCAATTACTCAAAGTAATGGCCGTTGTCGTTGTCTTAGTGGCAGGAAGGAATAAAGGTTTTAGTAGCAATTGTAGTAATCGGTGTAGAATGAACTAGTAATAGAAAAAGCCATGGAGTCGTAGTTGTAGTGTCAATTAACTATGCTATTGCGATTGAGTAAGTTTTGAGTCAAGGTCGGGAAATGAGGCATTCGTTGGAATTATGAAAATCTTTTTCATTTGGCTTTTGATCAGGCACACACGCACAAGTACACACACAGATGCATACAATCAAGCATACAGTAAACGCACGAATGCATGGACAGCAGACACACACAGAGATAGGTGTATGTACTGGTGCACATACAGAGACATACACAGTCAAACATACAGATACACAACACATATGGGCAGGTGCACAGACACATATATATAGTCACGTGCCAACAAATATATACACACATACATGTATAAATATACAAATATATATATATATATATATATATATATATATATATATATATATATATATAAGTATATAAGTAATAGAGACCAGTGCATGCAAGTACTTATATAGATAAATGGTGCTCGACAACTACTTATATACGCAGAATAACATTTTCATATAATATAGATACGAACTGATTGTATTAGATAGATAGATAGATAGATAGATAGATAGATAGATAGATAGATAGAAACAGAATGTGATAGATAGATAGATAGATAGATAGATAGATAGATAGATAGATAGATAGATAGGAACAATATGGAAAGATAAGGATAGATAGTCATATAGATATGAACAGATTGTATTACACATACACAGATAGATAGATCGATAGATAGAAAGAAAGAAACCAGTGCATCCAGGTACTTATATATGTAAATGGTGCTCGCCAACTACTTATATACGCTAAATAATATTCCCATATTATATAGATACGAACTGATTGCATTAGATAGATAGATAGATAGATAGATAGATAGATAGATAGATAGTGAGTGAGTGAGAGAGCGAGAGGGAAAGAGAAGTAAGAATAGACGGAGATATAAGTATGAACAGATGAAGATAGATAGATAGATAGATAGATAGATAGATAGATAGATAGATAGATAGATAATGAACAGATTATATTAGACAGATCGATAGGAACAGGTTGAGATATAAGTATGAAAAGATGGAGACAGATACATATATATATATGAACAGATTGTATTATGCACACACACAAACACACACATAGATAGATAGATAGATAGATAGATAGATAGATGAACTATTTGAGATAGATAGATAGATAGATAGATAGATAGATAGATAGATAGAATTAAGAATGGTGCTGAAAAGCTCGGCCCGACCCACTTCCTAAAATTTGACATAACAGTAAAAAGTTTCCGAATTTTTTCTTCGTGATGTTGAACATTTTTCAGCATCCACTCCTATAGTTCAGGATTATTGTCGACCAAAAACTGCTTCAAGTTCAATTGAATTCAGTTTTTAACGAAAAATCGATTCCCTTTAACCAATATGATTGCACCAAAACAAACGTTGATGGAAACGGTGAACGTTTACTTTTCTTTTTTTTTTTTTTTTCAAATAACAGAATCTCTTCAACTTTTCTCTCGTCTCTCAATAGACAGTTCGAAAATTAAAAGAAGAAAGACGTGTGTTCTTATAAACAATTGCATTGCTGATTTTCAAAAAGTAGATCAATAAACCACCGAAGATTCTGGCAGTGTTAGAAAATAGATTCATGTTATCAGGACACGAGGAAGTGATTAGGGGGTTTCGGAACGTGAGTGATCATAGCACTCCACAACTTCCAAGCCTTCCTTGCTCTAAGCAATGCTTCTCCCACTTGCTATTGTAGCAGGTAAACACAATTTTGTAAATAGTTAGAAAAATCAAATTAAAGCAAAATTTATACAATTATTAGAAAATATATGAACAGACGAAGGTTGGTAATGAACGATAATACTTAGGACAAGAACAACACATATAAGATTCGCCATATTTACATATATAACTAAGCACCAATTTTCGTCTAGCTAAGTCAGACACACGCCGCACTCTATTGAAAACACATTTTAATACAATGACAAATATACTAGAGTGTTAGCCATTATTGACGCGTCTCTTGTCAGAGATGTATACAACTACGTCCGTGCGTTCCACTTATATAGTCTATAACGGAAACCGGACCAAAGGAGAGACTTCACACACCCTCGCTAACCATTAAGGCTCCTGGAAGCACGGCTGAATGCCCGTCCGACTATTAGGCTGTAAAAAGGGCATCGTGTGAACACAGAAAGAGAACTAACTCCACTATCAATGCGACAAGCCAAAACCGATAGCCAACAAGCCGGATTAAGCGTACTTCTTTTTCACGCTCTCATTTCATACCTAGTACACCGTACGTTCGAACTTACCAGATACTTTTTCATATCTTGTAAATGAAAATAAATCAGTGTCTAATTATATGTTTTACTCCAACCAACTTCTATTTCTACCCCGGATCACTATAACCACATTCCGTGTTCTGCCATCAATTTACACAAGCTCATTAGGCAGGTTAATCTGTCTCTCTGACCTTTCGGTGACTGTCATATTCTCCAAGTCCTCTTTACTCTTTATGTGTACCAAACATTTCAATTGCCTTCTTCTGATTGTGACAGATATGAAGAGATTGTATTAGATAGATAGATAGATAGATAGATAGATAGATAGATAGATAGATAGATAGATACGAACAGACTGAGATATAGGTATGAACAGGCAGAGGTCGATAGATACGAAGAGATTGCATTAGATAGATAGATAGATAGATAGATAGATAGATAGATAGATAGATAGATAATGATTAAATTGAAATAGATAGATAATTAATAAATTGAGATAGATCGATAATGATTAAATTGAAATAGATAGATAGATAGATAGATAATGATTAAATTGAAATAGATAGATAATTAATAAATTGACATAGATCGATAATGATTAAATTGAAATAGATAATTAATAAATTGACATAGATCGATAATGATTAAATTGAAATAGATAGATAGATAGATAGATAGATAGACAATGATTAAATTGAAATAGATAGATAATTAATAAATTGACATAGATAAGGATTAAATAGTGAAAGAAAGAAAGAAATGACTAAATTGAGAGAGAGAGAGAGAGAGAGAGAGAGAATGAATACAGTAGATCGATAATGTTTAAATTAAGATACGTCATGATGGCATCGAAAATTGTGTTATTCCAGGCTCCCACGCAATCTGCTCGCTTATAAAAATGCGCATTGTATATTGTGATTTTCTTTTCACAGGTTCGATCCCCGACTAAGGTGTTGGAGGCAACAGATTATTATTTTAGCTATCAAACAATCCCTTTTAGATAAAGATTGCACACGATGAACAAAAAAAAACTAAAATACAGAAATTTACAAGTTAAAATCATAAAAAATATTGATTTACTCGTTTAGGTATTTAAAATCACTGGCATTATAAAAATTGAATTTGACATAACGATAGATAATTGCCACGATTATCATAAAGATTTTTTTTCTTTGAGGATTTTGCGATTTATATTTTAAAATGAATGATGTTTTTGATTTTTTTTTTTGTAAGAAGCAATTGACATAATTCATTAGTCACCGTTCTAATCTTGAGAACTAAATATTTCGTAAACAGTGTATCAAAAGCTTTTTCGTTTTTTTTTGTTTGTTTTTCTTTTTTGTTGTTTTTGTTTTTTTTTACAATATTTTTCGCTTTTACTACAAAGTTCAAGTTACACATCTAAAAGGATATCTGTAACTCCGCTATAAATTTAATATTATTATATTTTAGGGTGCATTAAAATTATCTTCGTTTTTCAGACCTAAGACTATCATTTTATCGTTGTTGTTGTTGTTATTATTATTATTACGATGTACCAAAAGAATCCTCCTTTTTGAGAGCCCTTTACTCTAAAGTTTATTTCATGTGCACATCTAAAGACAATCTGTGGTGTCAGTGTATCGTTCTTCTTTTTATTATTCTTTTTATCATTATTATTCTTTTTTATTATTATTATTATTATTATTATTATTATTATTATATTAGGATGCATCAAAAGAATTTTTGTTTTTGCAAGCCTCAGTCAACCACTGATTGGTGGTCCTTTTCGAGAGCTGCGGTCAGGTTAACTTTGTCAGCGCTGCCGTGCTTACTATTAAAACAGGAGTAAATGGTAGTGTCGTCTGCATAAATGCCTAATTGGGAAATGATGACATAAAGATCATTGATGAAGAGGAAGATCAGAAACAGCGTAGGACGCAGGATAAAACCTTTTTTTTTAAAATTCAGTTCAGTATTCAATACCAAAGACACACGTCACTAATATTCTTGTTTTACTTTCATTTGGCTACGCTGTATTCCATTTCCTTCGTTAATTCCTTGGCAGCCCTAGGCTTCTTCTTGTTCCAGTTCCCTAATCTTCGTGACAATATCTATTGAGTGTGTTTCTGTAATTCTCCCTTTCTTGAATGTTAAATTTGCACATTTATCTAATCTGAAATCCGTACCTGTGTCATCACTGAAACATTTTACAGTATTGAGGGGACCTTTCAACTCATTGTCGTCATTGGCAAAGAGTTTGAGGTCATCCATGTAGAGCAACTGATTGAACAGTTTCTTGTTTACTTTGTATTCATAGCTATTATTGTTTAGTTCATGCGTAAGAGGGATTAAGGATAGACAAAATAGAATAGTTGATAGGGAGTCCTGTTGAAAGATTCCTCGTCGGATATTCAGACGATTCGAAGTGGCAGTGCTTTTGGTGTGATTTAGGTATAATGTGGTTTTCCACATTCCCATGCTGTATTTAAGGAAATTTACTGTCACCGAGGAGACTTTGTACATTCCCAAAGTCTTAAGGATCAAGAAGTGTGGTACACTGACAAAGGCTTCACTATAGTCTCTCCATACTATGCTGAGATTTCTACCTCTTTCCCTGCAGTTTTCCAGGATCATTTTGTTTATCAATAGTTGATCTTCACAACCTTATGAACCACTCCTGCATCCCTTCTGTTCCAGTGAAAGAATGTTGTTTTCTCCGGGAAAAGAGTAAGTACAGTTCGTCGGGACAGATGAGATCAATTTATACGTGGTGGACAGACATGTTATTGGCCTATAATTTTTCGGACCATCTGTTTTCCCCCGTAAACTCGGCCTTGTGTCACATAATCCCTCGTGGACGGGGGGGGGCTGTTAAATATTAACAGTCGAATAGTTTGTTCGTTACTGTCGAACACTCTGCCTTAAGCAGAGAGGAACCCGGACGAGGCTTTGCCGAAGGGCAAAGCTTCGTCCGGGGAAATAGACAGACCCTGAACCCGTTTATACGGATTCTAAGGGAATATTTTGGCCGAGCCTTCGGGCTCGGATAACCCACGGTAAACTCCTCGGCCTTGTGCCACATACATCCCTCGTGGTGGGGAGCTGTTAAATATTAACAGTCGAATCGATTGTTCGTTACTGTCGAACTCTCTGTCTTAAGCAGAGAGGAACCTGGACAAGGCTTTGCCGAAGGGAAAAGTTTCGTCCGGGTAAGTAGACAGACCCTGAACCCGTTTATATTGGTTCTAAGGGAATATTTTTGGCCGAACCTACGGGCTCGGAGAACCCTCGTTAAACTTGGCCTTGTGCCACATACATTTCTCGTGGGGTTGGGGCTGTTAAATATTAACAGTAGAATAGATCTGTTCCAGCTGTGCTGGTCAAACTCTCTTCCCCCAGGCAGAGAGGATCCCCAAACGAGGCTATGTCGAAGGGCGGAATCTCGTCTCGCGAAACAGCTACCCGACCCCCTTTTATACGGGATCTATGGGGAATTTTTGACCGAGCCTGCAGGCTCGGATTGCAACACATTAAACTCGGCCTTGTGCCACATCCTACCTACCTCGTTAGGAGGCTGGTAAATATAACAGCCAAATAGATTGAACGCTGGGTCAACGGACACATACTCACTACTCGTGTAATACTCTCCTCTTGTACTACTGTTTAATATATAATATATCTGCAACCCTGGTTTTTTTATTTCTTAACCATTTACTTGGTCACAACATGAACTAAATGAATTCTAGTATTAAATGAATTCTTAAACCCCGTTTATAATTATATTATATATTATATTATGAGGCACGTGGTTAGCGGCTCGGATTGAGGAATCGGAAAGCCGAGTTCGAATTCCAGTCGAATCCATTACATTCACTTACGTGCTAATACCGTTGGGAAAGGTGTGAATCCTCTTCTTCTCCCTCCAGCTATTGGTATATAGTGGGGCAGACCGGGTTCTATAGCCTTTGGTCTAGGGGAAGGTAACTCTGAATTCAAAACCGGCATGGGTTCTCTCAGGCTATCTTGTCCAAGAAACATCACTTCTATTGCAGCTGCAGTACATGCACCTACGAGATTCGCAATACCACTGCATCGAGACACGGTGGATAACGATTCGGATTGGGATATCGGAGAGCCGAGTTCGAATTCTAGTCGGATCCATTACATTCACTTACGTTCTAATACCCTTGGGAAAGTTATTAATCTACGTCTTCTCCCTCCAACTATGGGTAAATAGCAGGACAGACTGGGTTCTATAACCTTGGATAGCAAATGCTCTAGGAGAAGGACAACTCTGAATTCAAAACCTGCGGAGAGTTGTTTAGGGACCTTGTGGTACATAGTGCACCAGGTCTCTGTATTCGGTCCTTCAAAAAGTGTGATTGGTTCTGCACAAAGCCTTCACCACTATAATCAAATCATATGTGAAGGTTGTCTGGGCTGTTGGTTCCTAGGAACTGAGCTGCTTGACCCTCATACACCGAATACGACGGGATTGTCCACCACATTATATTACTGTTTTGGGGGTTTTTTTCGTGGTTCTAAGTTTTCGCAAAAACTCATTTTTTTTTCAGGGGATTAGGGAATTACTGTTTTGTGCATAATGTTAGACCGAAAGTCATATTAAATTGTAATACAGGAAAAAAAAGTTTTTCTTTTCTTTTTTTTTTTTTCTTCTTGTTGAGGGTGGGGGCTTGGGATAATTTAATAGCGGCATTTCAACAGTAAACCGGAAAACTTGTATGAACGCATATAGATGTAGTTTATTGTACTCAAATTTTTATAAGTACATTTATTTTAATCGATTAACCTACAGTCATTCTGGATGGGGCATATTATTACCACTGTTTTTAATATATAAACTTAAAAACTAGTAACAAATTAACAAAATTTCTTCCTTTTGACATTTTGAATAACCCAACTTACCTGAGCGCCATGGACTTTCCCTCTGTGTATTCTGCTAGTATCGTGTACAAGTCGGCTGAGACAATTATAAAAATCAGTGTCGCATAGCGTGGTACAGAAGGAGGGTGCGTCGGAGCCTGATCAGCTCTGACGGGGTCGACTCAGCGAGGATGGTATGATGTTGTAAGGACCGAAACTACCCAATGACCTGAGTAATTGCATCACTGACGACACCCTCCAGCGCAATAAAAGTGCGTATTTTCGAAGCTATATATATTATATTATACTTATTGTATACCTACTTTTGCGGGCCCCTGTATGTAAAATTCATTATTTTTATCCATAATGTTGAATGTCTTAAATTATTCGACTTTTAAACAGAAAAAATTCATGCTGATGTTAAAAATGGCCGCAAAACGTTGTTGATCTATTTAAGATAGACTCATCTATTATGACATGTCTCTAATTTGTATTTAGTTACATTGTATTTATTTTCAGATTTTCTAGTTGAATTATTCACCTATATTGCATATGATCCATTATTGTACATAATTAGGTTAAAATAAAAGTTGTATTTTATATAAATACAAATCAGGCGATAGGCTAACGTATCTACTCCTACTGAGAAGAAAGAGAGAAAGAAAGAAATAGTAAATAAAATTTCAGAGCATTTCAGAAGGAGATATTAGAAATTATTTTCATTCATAATGTTATAAATTATTTAACTTTTAACAATTTGATGCTAAAAATTGCGGCAAAACCTTGTTGATTTATTTAACAATGGAATGATCTATTGTGACTCTTATTTCTATTTAATACATTGTATTTATTTTCAGTTTTTCTAGTTGAATTGTCCATCTATATTGCATATGATCCATTATTGTATATAATTAGGTTCCAATAGTATGTGTATTTTATAAAAATACTACCTTATGAAAATTGAAATGTAGTAGA